TTGCCTTGTTGCTAGCATTTAAGTGGTAAACTTCCCTCTTACAGCAGTACACCGTGAATAGCTTGATTCCATAGGTTTAAGATGCCTGTAATGTAAGGTTGTGGACTTGTGGTTCACTTTAGGTTTTGGTGCTCTGTACATTCTTTCCTAGCTTCCTCCCTACACTACGTCCACAAACCAAAAACGAGAGAGGATAAAATGGGAGAAACAAGATCTCTCAGTTTCTCCAAATTCCAGGGCAAGCAGTCATGAGATTTCTCTATATGTACAATGTGTGTGCTGATGTCATGTTGATTACTGAAAAGTTGGTCATTGATACATATTTGCTGTGGTCGTTGATAAGTTGGTGCATAGTGAGCCATATTAGCAATTTCATCTCCATTCAAAAGTAGGACAGTGTTGATTACTTGTAAATGGTATGCTTTGAAGTTGAACGGGCTACTGCGTAATTTCAATTGTAATCAGGAGTCTGAATCGAGAAATCAATGAGAGTTTTGTTTAGTCCACACTATGTTTAGCTGTTGTTGTGGATTCATGGAGAATGTTGTTATTACCGTTTACTTTACATTGTTTGCCTTTGGAAATATTTTAACTCTTGACGTTTTTACTAGGATCCTGCTTATTATGTGCTTAAGGAAGACACCTCCCCTTGCATCTTTGGACCAATTGAGAAGCAGCGGTGGTCCTATGCGTGTGCAAAACAATTGATTGAGAGGCTGGTCTATGGTAATTATATTTATCTGTCTGTTTCATAGTTGAATCTCTTACCATATAGCTTACGTGTCACGTGTTATATTTACAGCTGAGGGTGCGGAGAATGGCTTAGAGTTCACTATTGTAAGGCCATTTAACTGGATTGGTCCTAGGATGGATTTCATTCCTGGCATCGATGGTCCTAGTGAAGGTGTTCCAAGAGTATTAGCTTGCTTTAGTAATGTATGTGTACTTTTCTCTTTGGTTGACCTTTTAGTAATGTATGTGTACTTTTCTCTTTGGTTGACCTTAAAACCTGTATCAGATGCTCACTTGTCAGTCTCATGTTTTAATCTTCTAATGTTCCCTCTTCTCAGAACCTTTTAAGACGTGAACCTTTGAAACTTGTGGATGGGGGAGAATCACAAAGGACGTTCATATACATCAAAGATGCTATTGAAGCTGTTCTTCTAATGATCGTGAGTTTTGACCTCCTTATCCCTCTACGTTTGTTTCCAGAAATGCATTAGGATCTATGTTGATTCAAGTAAATACAATGCAGGAAAATCCTGCCAGAGCCAATGGCCATATCTTTAATGTTGGTAACCCTAACAATGAAGTTACTGTCAGGCAGCTGGCTGAAATGATGACTAAGGTGAAATAATTATTCAATTTGTCTTTCTCCTGCACCTACTCCTTTGTCCTAAATTTCATGCGCATGTTGTCGACACTGTTTTTTTCTCAACTCCTTTGGATAATAACAGGTGTACTCAAAGGTGAGTGGAGAGTCTTCTATTGAAACACCCACCATTGATGTAAGTTCTAAAGAATTTTATGGTGAGGGGTATGATGACAGTGACAAGAGGATTCCGGACATGACCATAATCAACAGGCAGCTTGGTATTGACCTGTTTCTTTGTCGATTGACTATTTTAATACCTTCAAAAGTTGAGAATAATCTGACTGTTAAACTGTGTGATGACCAGGTTGGAACCCAAAGACTTCCCTATGGGACTTGCTAGAATCCACACTCACATACCAACACAGGACCTACGCCGAGGCTGTCAAGCAGGCCATGTCTAAAACAACAGCAAATTGATTGTTCGCTGCTTGTTGGCAGGTCTTTCAATATCTTGTTACGATTCTCCCGAGTAAAAATCTACAGTCCATCACTCATACACGTAATTTTACGTCCCTTCTGTAATCAATCATGTATTCTATTTTGTGACAGCATATTTATTAAGAAATTTGTGTCATAGGCTGGGTGTATTATGTCACTAGAGCTTCAAAATAGTTATTGAGGTATTAGATAAAGGAAAAGCTGTCCTGTTCTTATAAGATTTGTTGTCATTCATCTATTCATTCCTGTGTATGGAAACATCTTGTATCATTTTGATCGACCTGTTGATGGAGCTATAAATTTTCCTATTTATTCATGTGATTGTCCATTCTTTTACTTGTACTGAATTTTGTCATTTATGTTGGATTTCAAATTTTTAAAGATTGTGTATGAGTTTCTCCTACTTGACGTGATTAATACTACAGAAGTTTAACCTGATCCCTGCATTATGTTATAATGCTCCTAAAATAGCGAGTACATTAACTACAAAGAAGAGTTGCATGATTGCATCACAAGTTTGAAACTTTGATAACATAGCAATAATGTCATATACCAACCAGAGTTGTGATAGAGTGGTAAGTAGTCTTTTATTGTTAATCAGAGGCTTTGGGTTCGATGAAGTTGCCTTTGTTTGACGTCTTGGGTTTGAATCTTCCTGGTATGAAGTTGCCTTTGTCAGATCTTGGGTTTGAGTCTTTCGGGATATAGAGTTGCCTTTTTTAGAGAGTGTTTTACTGAAATATTTTTTGTGCAAATTCAAATTTAATCGGGCTCAATGTGGAAACAAGACAACAGATGGAAAAAACAAAAAAAGAAGAAGCAATAAGGTAATAGCACATTTAAGTTTATGGGTTGGTAGAGCCCATTACCAAAATATCTTAATCATTTTTGGAACTATTTAATTCCAAAGAATATAAATTCATACTAAAATTTTGAAATAATTTAATCCACAAATCAAACAACCCCTTTATAGAACTATAATTATTTGGAGAGCATTTATGTATAATAACATGTAATCAAAAAGGGAATTTTAGAGAGATTATGTTACATAATTTCAACTTTAATATTATAAATTTATAACTAACTCGAGTTGTTTGTCCTTTTTATTTTATTTTATATGTATATAGATCACCTCATACATTGTCATCATAGTTTAATTCTTCTTATGGTCGTAAAGTGCAAATAGTTTTTCACAAAAAATATACATTAAGAAGGTGAGAAAACTTATGTTACACATTTTAAATGTACTCTAATATTATAAAATTACAATTATTTAAAATTGCTTTTATGCCTTATTTTTAATATATAGATATTTCCCTCATTTATTAGCTTGCAATTTAATCTTCAATCACGAATTGCAAATTGTTTCATAGCCTATTAAACTAATTAAATGTGGTGCAAATATAATTTTTTGGAAAAGAGGTCAAATTTGTCCTTGAGAAAAAAATATTTAACATTCACAATACTATCCATATAAAAATATCTCCATTATTATTTAAATTGTTAAAAAATACTCTCTTTATTCCATATTAGATAAGTATTTTCTTTTTAACACCGTGATTAAGTAATCATTAATAGATTGATTAATTGTACTCTTTTACCCTTTGTTCATAATAATTTATCTCTTGAAAAAATAAACTCTTAGATCTTCAAAACTTATATAAACTTCTAAAAGTCATATTAATGGTAGAAATAAATGAGAAAAAATTAATTAATTTTATTCTAATTTATTAAATAATTAATTAATATGAGACAAATATTTTTTAGCAAAATGTTCATTTAATACGAAACGAAAGAACTATTGTCTTGATGCTAGTATGAGATTTATACCACATGACATGCCACCTCAACTCTCTTAAATATGCTTTTGTCTTCCTACCTTTATTGATGTGTAGTTAATTAATGATTTTAATTTAATGTCCTAAATTTTTTTCTCTTTCTTGTACACAAAGCAAAGCACCAAAGTAAAATAAAAGGCAAAAAAAAACAAAACGCATTCGAACATTAAATGATTGTAGTAACGCCATTCATTTGCACTTTTCCCATTTTTTATTTTTTATATTGGAGTTTAGTTTATGCTTTATATTTAAGAAAACATAAATTTATATATATATATATATATTATTATAATAGCTTCTAAATAATGCCTACTTTAATTTCTAAAAATCTTATTACTCACTAGTTCTTAGTTTGATGCACGTGATAGATTTCATGATTTTTTTTAACAAATCAAATTTAATCGAGTTTTAATATGAATATCAAAATACGAGGGGCTGACATTGTAAAAATCAGAAGCGTAGCTCCTCACAGAACCCGAAGCCACATACATTCTCATTGGATCCATGTGTTCCTCGATTAAAACCCAAATCGCACTCCACCTGTTCGACAAAAAGCGTCAACCAAAACTCAAACCATCATATTCCCCTTTCTTCATCATTAGCCATGTCTTCTTGTCTCCATTTCCTTCTAGTTTGTCCTTCTTCGCCGGCCTTTAAAACCCCTTTGTCTCTTTTTCCCTTTTTCTACTTCCATTTGTATGATATATAGTGGTATATAGTGAGTACTTGTACATGTAGTGCCGGGTAATGTAAATGTAAAAAAAGATAGTACTAGTCAAAAACCCAAATGAATATTGTAATGGGTTTTTGCTGAAAGGAAGAATCTTTGGTGGAGATTATGCTTAATTGTTTAAGCCGGTTTTTTGTGGGTTCTCTTTACACATATGCCACAAGTATATAATATATACTGTATATTAAAGTAACATATTGTATATTATGGACCATACCTGTTGCTTTGCTGTGCTGTTTCATTAGTTGGGGGTTGTTGTGACCAGTGAATTTTGTTTTCTTTTAGATACACAAGAAGAGAAAATGGTGAGGGGCAAGAAGCTTTTTTTTTTTTTGGTTTTCCACCTAGTGTCAGATAGTCTATTGGGGCAGGACTAAATCCGAATTCAGGACGGTAAGTTCCATACCTGTTGCTGTGCTGTTTCCTTTGTTGGGGTTGTTGTTGTGAGCAGTGAATTCAGTTTTCCTTAGAAACACAAGAAGAGAAAAGGGTGGGTTTGGGGTGAGGGGTTAAAAAGCCTTTTTTTTTTGGGTTTTCCATCCTGTGTCCAGTACCCGCATTGGGGTCTGACTAAAGAGTCTTATAATTGAGGTGAGCGTTCGCTAACAAAGACACTCGGTATCCAGGAGGACTCGAACCCGAGACCTCCCTTATTGGTAGGGGGTTAAGAAGCTTAGCTGTAAGAGAAGGGGGGGACCAATGATTATGATTTTCTTTTTGGTGTCCAATTAATTGAGTGGATTCTTATGACCCCTTAAGCTTTGACTCATTTTGGACTTCATTTATGTGGCTCCCATGTTTGGTGATTTTGCTTTTTTCCTTTGATGGGGGTTTGTTTAATTTGGTAATTAATTGCCAGCATCATATAGGTTCAGATGCTTTCAATTGAATTCAGTAGAATTTGTGTCGGAGGAAAAAGGTGTGTAAGTTGTGTTGGAGAAAATACAAATTGAGTGTAGGGGTGAGAAACAAAGTTGTTGTGTTCTGGAGTTTGGATCATTGATGGCACCGGCTGCGAAGGTTACTGGATTCTACCGTGAGGGAAATGACTGGTATGTTACATTATTTCTTTTGATATGTTTTTACTTGAACCGAGGGTCTATCAGAAACAACCCCTTTACCTTCGGAAGGTAGGCGTAAGGCTACACAGACCCACCCTCCCCAAACCCTACTTGTGGATTACACCGCGTATGTTGTTGTTGTTGTGTTGTGCCTGTGTTTATTTCTTTTGATGTGTTTTTACTTGAGCCAAGGGTTTATTGGAAACAACCTCTCTACTTTCAGAAGGTAGGCATAAGGCTGCGTACACCCCACCCTCCCTAAATCCTACTTGTGGATTATCCCGGTTATGTTGTTGTTGTTCCTGCGTTGATTTCTTTTGATATGCTATTGCTTGAGCCGAGGGTCTATCGGAAACAACGTCTCTACCCCTTCACAAGGTAGGGATAGTTTGCTTACCCCCCCCCCCCCCCCCCCCCCACACACACACACACACACACACACAACGACCCCAAACCACACTTGTGGGATTACAGTAGATATGTTGTTGTGTTGTACCTGTGTTTAAGGGGAATTCTGCATCCGGCATAGATACTGAACATTGGCTCTTGCTTATAGGCTTACTTGCCAATTTGGTGATGTGCTTAAGATTTTTAGAGGCAATTTTGGGTCAATTTTGATGGTAATATTGTGGAAGGGAGCTATCTATTTTCTTGCCAGGAGGATGTTTATGTTTTTGGCTACCAGTCTATTTGGTTTCAATGCCAGTTGAAATTTTACTGTATATCAATACCAAAAGATCTGTTGGCTCGGTTTAAGTTCTGATTGGAGTCTCATTCACATTTTGTTATAACTGTGAAATCTTCAATGGTTCGAATTCGGTGGATAATGGGTCTGCCCCTCTACCCTTCTCCACTTAAATTCCAGGCCTTTGTATGTGGCAATATTCGAACTCGTTAACCCACACATCACAAGTTGTTCTCTTACCACTAGAGTCCGAGACCAAAGCCTGGGGGGTGAGTCTCATTCATCTTTCAGAATGAAAACATCATGATGTTCGTTAATTCCAAAAGTTTTGATTGTAGATTTGGATAAGTTGGAATTGTTTAGCTGTGCTTTTTTTCTTTCTTGATTCATAATTTGATGCACATGACAGGTTTTGCAATGCAAGTTTGGTCAGTGATTTTACCTTGGTTGTGGACGGAGTAAACTTCCACCTTCACAAGGTACTTATTCTTCTTTAAATTTTTAAAATTAAGGGATATGCAACTTAGCATGTGACCTTTTGTGCTAGGCAATTTTGAGGTGAAGTGTTTTCTCATTTCCTTTATCATGCATTTAAATAAACCATGTTTATAATGGAGATGTTGCATTCCAACTTTGTTAATTATTTTTTGCTGTAAGTTCTTAAGTTATATAGAACTCAGTTCAAGAAGCAGATTGCTCAATTTTGGCAAATGTTGAAGGAATAATACTATGAGGGCTAGTGTTTATGAGAGATGACAATTTTCTACTTTCGAGTTATGCCCTGTTAGATTGTTACATAGCTATTATACCATTAATTTTTCTATTTGTTGAAATGGCAACTGACGAACATAGAGTTTCTAGTCTTTCCTTTTTCCTCGTGAACCACTCAGTCGAATTGCGGCCCATGGGCAAACTGTATGTCAATATCAAAAGTTGCCCTACCTCACTGAACTAGATTCAATAAGAACAAAATGGAGTATCATACTTCAAAAATAATGCCCTTTTTATAGCTTCCTACTTGAGAAAAACATGGCAGCGCTTGTTCAAGAATGAGTTAATGTTTTTACAATTTACTTTAAAGTTTGTAGTTCGGCTGTGCCTACTTGTGTTTCATGCATGGTACAATGGTTATCACCATTTGCTAGTTTGAATGCGATGGGTTTCTCATGTTTCCAAAAGAGATGGTGATTGTAGGTGTTAATCCAGCCTGGTTGATGAATCCATTCAACTGGAGTCCTGGAAGAGTGGGCCTCTGTTTATACGGGATAAGAGAATCTATATGACTCATTTTAGGCCTTAGATTGCTACCTGGACGCATCTTTTGAAGCATCATTCCCTCTGTTCTAAAAATATAGTCTAATTTTACCTTTGAATTGTCCTTAACAAATATATACTCCCTAAATTTGAATATTTTTTAAAAATAATTAGTAACTACATATTGTAGGCTATTACGGGAGTTATAGGAGATGCTCGTTTCTATGTTCAAGTTATAAACTAATTTAAATGAACTTCCTTTGAGAATCCATTCACAGAATCCACATTTGCTTTGGACCATCACTTTCTGATCTATCATCTACTGTGTTGGTATATTTTTTATGGAATAGCTACAATCAAATGAGTTTGAATAATAGGTCTTGGGTAAGGGTTAATGGACATGGTGGTAAGAATTGATGAGGTTGTTTAAAATTATTTCTTGTTTAGTAATAATAATCCAGTACTGTCATGAGGTTTAATGGATATGTTGGCAAGATATAATGGGGCTTGAGAATAATTCTTCTATAGTAATGATAATCTGAAAAGTATCATAAACTTCATGGATTATGTATTACACCCTCTGTATATGACTTATTTTCCTTTTCAGTCAGTCCCAAAAAGAATGACACATTTCTATTTTGTAACAATTTAACTTTTAAAATACCTATTTTACCCTTATTATAATGATTTATAGCCACACAAATATCTATGACTTATTTTAGACCACAAATTTCAAAAGTCTTTATTTTTTTTCTTAAAACTCCTTACCAAGTCAAAATAACTCATAAATTGGGACGGAGGAGTAGTACTTTATTTTAAACATGTTGGCATATGGTCAGAATGATGAGAATTATATTTAGGTTATTCTTAACATCTAATACTGTTTGGAAATTGTTATTTCCAGCATCTGAAACTTTCTAAATTTTCTGATAATTCCTCTTGATGTGCACTAATTGTGAGAAAGAAATTATTGGGTCGGCTAATTATCTCCTTTTTTCATAAAGAATAGTTTTAATACCTTAGTTGTTCATTGTATTCATTTTCATCATGCCCTTTCAATTCTTGCCTTCTTTTGATGAGTATTCAAAATTTGAAGTATGAAGTAACTCGCCGATGGTTTACTGGAACCGAAATAAACTGGAATGCTAATGTTTGTGGCAACTCAGTTTCATCTAACAGAAGTTTTCCATTTTCGCAAAGTTATGCAAGCTCCAGTTTAGAAGTGATGTGTGTGAAATCAGTGATCTATGGAAGATGACTATGGTGTCAAATCTTCAAAATAACTGTACTCTTCTCAAGGGTGATTTTACATACGCTTGCTTTGATTTTTCCTCGCAATTATTTATGTTTGTCTTTGACACTTTTTATTTTAATGTTGTTTCTTGTCATGCATCCTATAATGATCAAGTATTGCTGACTTTATATGGAATCCCCAACTCACCTTTTTACAGCAAATTTAACTTCTCTATATCAAGTCTTGTCTAACAGCCAAAAAATGCTCTGTCTCCAGTTTCCACTTATGTCGAGATGTGGAAGGATTGACAAAATACTAGGAGCAGCTCAAGGTCCACATGAAGGGACTTTCCTGACAATTTTAGAAGACTTCCCTGGTGGGAGTGACATATTTTTAGTCACAGTTAAGTTCTGCTATGGTATTCGAATAGAATATACCCCAAGGAACATAGTAATGATTTATTGTGCAGCAGATTACTTGGAGATGACGGAGGACTATGGTGAAGATAATTTACTGTTTAAGGCAGATGCTTACTTTCATAAGAATATTCTGAAGAATTGGAAAGATTGCATATTAACTCTCCAAAGTTGTGATTCTGTCATACCAAGAGCAGACAAGCTAGAGATCATTAGTAAATGCTCGCATGCTCTCTCTGTGATGGTCTGCACAGATCCTAGTTTATTTGGATGGCCTATGTTGTTGTATGGCTGTTTACAGAGCCCTGGAGGTAGTATATTGTGGAATGGAATTAACACCGGTGCTAGAATCCAAGCCATTGAATCTGACTGGTGGTTCGAAGACATCTCATATCTTTCTGTGCCATTATTTCAGAGATTAATTCGAACAATGGAAGCCAGAGGTATTAGACATGAAAATTTAGCAGGTGCTATGATGTACTACTGTAGGAAGTACCTTCCAGGACTTGGCCGGTGGCAGAGTGGGCAAATTGGTAAAACTAGAACAGTTGCTAGTTTCAGTATGACACCAGCTGCTGTCGATCAGAAAGTTCTTCTTGAAAGTGTTTCGAAACAGCTTCCTGAATTGAAGGGCAAATCTTTTTGCCGTTTCTTGTTGGGACTTCTGCGAGTTGCCTTGATACTTGGTGTGCACCACACATGCCTGGACTCGTTGGAGAGGAGAACAGGAATGCAGTTGGACCTAGCATCCCTAGATGGTTTGCTGATACCTTCCTACTCAGATTCTGATACATTATATAACACCGACTGTGTTGAGCGAATGATTCATCATTTTATATCTTCTGAATCTGGGATCACTGCAATACCTGATCCATCTTCATTTGAGATAGGAACATCACCATCATCCCATCCTTTAAGGAGAGTGGCGAAGTTGGTTGACAGCTATATTGCAGAAGTTGCATCTGATGTGAACCTAAAGCCGGGAAAAGTACGTTCACTTGCTGAAGCTCTCCCAGAATCTTCAAGATCTCTGCATGATGGGCTATATAGAGCTCTAGATATATACTTCAAGGTTTGATTTGGTCCCTGATATTTTACTGTGTGCTTAGTGATGATATAGCTGATTGTTTGGATCGGGGAATCTTAGTAGCTCAGTTGGTTGGCTGCCTGAACTCTCACCTTGTTGGTGAGGGTTTGATTCCCCACCTTGTAATCCCCTCCCCATTTCCCTTCCCCTTCCCCCAAATTTTTTTAGTTGATTGTTTGGATTAATTTATTTTACCTGCTAGTTAACTGTCACATGATAGTTAGTCATTTCATTCTATTCCATCTATGTCTGCCTTTTTATATTTCATAGCATGTCAATTGCATATCCATTGTTGAAGACGGACTTAAATAGGAAAGAGTCTTTCATTTCTGAGTGTAGGCCTCTAGTAAAAAGCGAATGCATCTCGGAAAGCTGCTTAGTCTTTTTTATGCTAAATGATTTTCTAGCTTATTTCTTCTGCTCTCTTTATGCCATCTGTGTAGTCTCAACATGTATTCACCTTTTATATCTTTTTACTTTGTTTGTTATATGCTTCATTACTGACCTAGAGCTAAATTGCTTCCAACTCTGCACTGTGGAACCTTGTAGACTTTTAATGGATTGAAATGAAAATTGTATAGGCGCATCCTTGGCTTTCAACAAAAGAGAAGGAGCAGCTTTGCAACATCATCGACTTTCAGAAGCTCTCTATTGATGCTTGCGCCCATGCATCCCAGAATGACAGATTGCCTCTTCGAGTTGTTCTCCAAGTTCTTTTCTTCGAGCAATTGCAGCTGAGAACAGCTCTAGCTGGTTGCTTCCAAGTCTTGGATACAGAAAGTGGCCCTGCAGCTCCTGTCACTGGCCCTAGTGACATGGCAGGTCAAATTGTACAAAGAGACGGATGGGTGACAGTCGTGCGTGAGAACCAGGGTCTAAAGGTGGACTTGGAAAGAATGAAGTCCAGGGTTGGTGAACTTGAAGAAGAATTCAGCAAAATCAAACAAGAGATGAGAAAGGTCACAAAGTCACATAGTTACCTCAGTTCTCCGCGCTTTCTTGCCCGAAGGATTGGATGCAAGCTCCTTCCCCAATCCTCGGATACTCAACCAGATGTGGTTGAAAGCACAGGTCCAACCCCAAGATCATCAGTTGAGAAACCGAGAAGCTCAAGACACCGTAAAAGCTCCTCTTTGATTTCATGACAAGAAGACTCAGGTTTGATGTCTATTCCCCCTGGAGAATGCCATTTATAAATATTTACCCTCCACACCAGAATTCTCGCACTACATGTTTGGAATAGATTCATCCATTGATAATTCAGGGCACCTATATATCCCCTTGATAAACCATTTCGAATTCATTTCATAAGATACAACTGTCCTGCTTGGCTGGCTGAGTATATTTAGTATGTTGGTTGGACAACAACAACAAAACGAAAATACTTATCCATCGGAACAATGGACTCCTGATGGAAGAAGATGAGAAGAAACTAAATTTATGGTTCAATCTCATGTATCTTGACACAAACATAGAATTCAGCTGATACTAGTAAATATCTGTTCCTTTCCTAGGAACAATATAATGGGACTCTGTTGTCCACATTTCTCTCTTATACATGTACAGCTTCATGAAGAGTTTGTAAAGCTATATGATGAAGGTATTCATGTTTTTGTTTCATAAGTATACTAGCTGTAAAATGGAGGTCTAGTGGGACTAATTATATCTTTAGAAGAATTATACATAAAGCTCTACATTCATCATTTTCAATTTGTTTGGAATTCTTATAATTGTTTGTACCAATTGGTTACATTTCAAGTTTGTTGTATTTTCATACTATTCCTACTACACTGATTATGAGATTGGTCTATATTGATTAGCAATATTGCTTTGTGAAAAGTTCTTGAGTGAATGGAGTAGTGAGTTCTGACTTGAGGTGGAGAAGTTAAACCACAAACTACGAGAACAAAGTTAATGTATGCATTATTTTTGCTAATACATTCTACCAAACGACCCTTTAGTGACTTAAGGTGATTTCGAGCCAAAAATTGTAATACCAAGGACATGTTTGAGTCGAACTTTTAATGGATGATAAAGTTAAGACCTTTTCCGACAAATCCAGACCTTTTCCTATTATGAAATGATAAATATACAAATATTTAAGCAAGATTGTCATAGAGGGTAATGTTATGATTATGAATGTTTTGGTTACAAGTAAAATATGTAATATGAAAATGAGATAATAGTAAAAAATACATCTGAAATATTATTTTTTTGCGAGTTTATATTTGAATTGTAAGTGTTTTGATTTTTAATCTGAACTATTATTAATTATTTATCAAAACATGTCTCGAAGCTGACTAGACCAATGCTTGAAATCGCCAAAATACACTCGTCCATAAAATTCCATCCACATGACAACTTACTCATTTATTCTGAGTCATGTTTTTGATAAATAGTTAGTGATATTCTAGGTGAAAAATGCAAACACCTTATAATTCCAGGTAAAAAATGCAAACACCTTATAATTTCAGGTAAAGAATGCAAACACCTTATAGTTAAGATAAGAAATTTACAAAAAGAAAAAAATGATGCTTCATATTTAATCATTATCTCTTAATTTATTTAATTATCTCTATAGAATGACTTTTGATATTATTTTCAAACAAAAAAAATAACATACGCCACACATAATAATATACTTTGATAAATAATTTAGATAACAAACACAAACATCTTATAATTTGGATTAAATAACTCTAAAAAGAAATAAATAATGTTCATGTTTTTACCATTATCTCTATATAAAAAAATTAGGTGGGTCATGCACACTTCACTAATTTCAACTCTCCAAAGTTGTTGCAATTTCTCTAATACTATTATTAAAAAGGAAAAACTATATAATTAAACATACTTTACTATCATATACTATTATAATTTATATTTTTAAAATATTACGTATCTTACTATTAATTAAATTTTTTTTTACGTATTTTACACTTAAATACATATATTTTTGCTAGATACCCAAAAATAGGGAGAGAGGCAAACGAGATTGATGAGAGAGACAAACAAAATTTGTATGTGTCCAAAATACATGCAAATCACTTTAGATACACACCAGATACATGAGAGAGTGGCAAGTGAGATTAGAGAGACGGACGAAATTTGCTATATATTTCAAATACATGCAAATCTATTTGGATACATGAAAACAATGTATCTAGAATAAAATACATCTAATTTGACTCGATACATTTGAGATACTTGTATTTAGATGTATGAGCCTTGATTAAACCTCTCAAAAAATAGCTGAATTTAAATTAATCGAACTCGATGACAAAATACATAAAAGAATTTATGTCGTACGTTGTTGCTACTACTATAAAAAAAAACTCGCAAGTGAACGTTGCTCGTTTCATCAAACAATGGCTCTGCTTCAATCATCACTTTCTCATATATCAATTCTTTCGATTTCTTCAAACAACACTCAAATTCCACAATTCAAATGCTTAAATCTCTCAAAGTTTGTATCTTTACAACTATCAATTACGAAAACTGATCGAATTTTCAGAATTACGTGTACTGGACAAGAATCCATCGTTAGAACAGTTGACGGAGGTGATGGGGGTAACGGAAAAGGTGGGTTTCCATCTGACAACAACGGTGGCGGAGATGATGGTGACGGCGGTGGTGATTATGATGAAAAAGAGTTTGGACCGATAGTGAAGTTTGATGAGGTGGTTAAAGAGGCCGAAAAATTAGGGGCGAAATTGCCTATTGATATGTTGGAAGCTGCTAAGACTACAGGGATTCGGAGATTGATTCTTAGTCGTTACTTGGATATGCAGGTGAAAAAAATGTGTTCTTTTCGTTTTAATTTGGTTGTTTGGTTTTGACTTGACACGGAGTTTAAGAAAGTATAACGATTTTTGAATTTTTTGTTGTTAAACGAAAGATACCGAAGCTCCCGTTTGGCCATATTTTGAAGTTGAAATTTGAGTTTTTTTGGAATTTGAAGTTGTGTTTGGACATGATAAAATTTGTGAAGTTTTGTGAGTGGAAGTTCAAAAATCCAAAATCAGCTAGTTTTTGGGAACTTGAAAATATTTGAAGATCAAATTTCATGGCCAAACGAATATTTGAAGATAAGTTTTCAAAATCTATGACGGCATGTTAGCTTAGAATATATCAAAATGTTTTTCAAGCTTGTGGTCTTAGAGATGTCAGGTGGAAAGTTAGAATTAAAGAGTTGTCGAAAAAAGAAAAGAGACGTTCTTTTTTAAACGGACTAAAAAAGAGAGTAAGATAAATAAATTGAAATGGAGGGAGTACTAATTTTGATGCAAAGTGTTCAATTTTATTTGATATGTGTGTAGATGTACTGATTGCATTTTGAATTGGTATTTTGACATACAGGGTTCAGCTTGGCCGCTGGGATTTTTGATGAGACATTGCTCAATGCTGAGAAATCGAATGCTTGCTGATCCGTCGTTTTTGTTTAAAGTCGGAACAGAGGTTAGTTTGATAATCTGGGAGCTATGTTTTCTTGTAATTGTTGAAAATAAAATAAAATTGGGAGGTAGCTATGCCAGTACTTTATAATGGCTGATCACTAATGACATGAGGTGTTTGGTAATTGGTATTATCGATTGACTAGCGTGCCACAAATATTGCGCTCAAACTAGCCCAAACACTAAACTTTAAAAGTAAATGCCAAAAAAATTTCTTCTCTTTAAGAGTAATGATTGTGAAATGTGTTTGACTTGCATTTTTATCATATAGGGTACTAACCTACTAAGTAGCCACTGTGATCTGAGGTGTGCATGACTCAAGTACAAAGCTTGTAATAAGTGATTATGGGATAGGTTGCTCTCTTTTACTAAGCTGTGGGGACAATCATGCTTATAGATATTCAAGGAAAAACATTCTAAGTCAAGGAATGGGTTGTAGAAAATGGATTAATAAATAGTTTTAACTGACGGGTACTTTATACTTCAGTTAAAGAACTGGTAGCTAACAAGCTTGATTGTTAAAGAGTTTAAACCTGATAAGACTGGCAGTTTATACGTAATCTGATGTATTGCAGATTGTCATAGACTCCTGTTGTGCAACATTTGCAGAGGTTCAGAAAAGGGGAAAGGATTTCTGGGCAGAATTTGAGTTGTATGCAGCAGATCTTCTTGTTGGAATTGTTGTTGACATCGCATTGGTAGGCATGTTGGCTCCTTATGTCCGAATAGGCAAGCAGTCCATTTCAAGCAGCTCTTTTGGACGCTTTCGACATGCTTGTGGTGCTCTTCCCAGCAGGTGACTGATTTATTTGTGCACCTTCATTTCTACAGCATTCTCTGTTTTCCTTGGCTTCCAAGTCATGTACGACTCCAACTGTTGTACTTTCTTTTCTCATGATTTTGAGGATGTCACACAACATCTAGTGCGTTCACTAATTGCATCAGAGTAACAACTGTCACGTTCTTCTTAGAGATAGTTCAGTAAGCTAGATACAGAAAATAATTGTATGTTCATGAAATTGTTTCACTTCATCTGAGCTGAAAACTCTCCGCTCACGCAGATGCACCTTGCTCATAACACATATAAACGCTATTCATATTCTGTGCGTTATCTGGAGTTCATTTTTGTGTTTTTACACAGTTTCAAATGGGAAAGCAACTTTTACAAACCATTGGACAAACTTTTACTCCAGTGATATGAAATGATCATAAAAATTATCTTAATCAACCAGTTAAATTTAAAATGTATATATCTCTTTGCATCTGATTGATCGCTTTCGGGTTTTCCTTCATTCAATTCCTGTCTAAACTTAATGGGAAGCTGTCAAAACTTTGGGATGCATTTTTCCATTGGAACATTAAAATTGAGACTGAAGAGAAACATACAATTGGATATATGTAGTATAGAAATGAATGCTTCTGCGGAGACTCATCAGGAAAGCATATCTTTACCTCTTCGCAGCCAATCAAATACAACATAATCTGTTCAGCATAGGTTTGATATGTAAGATTTCAACACAGAGTAAAAGATTGAAATAATTTCTCAACTTGGGATTTTGACAGTATGTGGCTATCAGGGTATCAGATGAAGAGAAAGTTTTGAAGTTGATTCAATCACCTACTATTGGAAAAAGTAAACTGGTTCGAGATTCTTTAGCTGGATTTTGTGCTGTTTAAAGGTGATTTAAGATCTGGTTGATGTAAGAGAATGGTGATTGATTTGGATAACTTGTAAAGAAATATAGAACTA